ATGGCACACGCGCACGCACACCCACACCCACGCACACAGGAAGTAACTAAAAAACTAAGAATAATTATTTTTACAGAGGGGGAGAAAAAAAAAAAGAAAAATAATAAATCAAACGTTTCTTTTTTTTTTAAATGAAATCATCTTAGAAATTAAAAAGAGATAGAAAATATTAAATGAAATAAAAAAAACAACAATAATAATGATAATAATAATATTAAATTGCCGAAAGAATTTTAGAAAGTCAGATTTTATATTAAATTGGTTTAATCACACAACAACATGCATAGATTGATCCCAAAGGGGTAACAAAAACCGGAAATTCAAAAGTACAAAACTAAACAAATTAAAAACTTTCAAATTTTACATTTTCATAAAAAAACAAACGCCTCCCCCTAAAATTTATTTATTTATTCATCATCATCATTATTATTTTTAATAAAACCCACATTTATACAAAAAAATAATTTTTTTTTAATCCGAAATAAAAAAAATTAATTTTTTAAAATTCGAAATTAATAATATACTAAACGGAAAAAACGACTCGACGCCATCTTTTTTTATGTTTTCATTATTATTTTAAATCGTTAACGGAAAAAAAAGAGTTACCAACTTTCGAAATTAAAATTTAAAAAAAAAAAAAAATCGCGACGATTTGTCACGTGATTTAAAATTTCTTTTATTTGTGGAAAATATACGTGTATGTGTCTTTTTCCAGGATTATATATTTATCTTATGGGAAAAAAATATTAATAATGATGATGATGATGATAAAAATCGATTTGAAATTTAATTTTTTTTTTTTTTATTTTCCGAACCGAACAGAGAGGGGGGGAAAGAGTAAAAAAAAAATTTCACGTGTTAAGAAGAGGGTTAAAAATTATGACACGAACTCAGTCAGTCAACCCTTTTTAATAATTTACCCTTTTAATAACATTTAATTATTTAAAACTCTTAAAATGACCACAAATTTTTTTTTTTTGCATTTTATAAAAAAAGGAAACAAAAAAAAGGAAAAATTTGTTTTTTAAATGGAAAATATCAATACGTGAAATTTAAAAGAAAATTTTTTTTTTTTAGTTTTTCTCCCCCCTCTCCTCTTTCCTCGTTTTTCCCGTAGGTAACCCCTTCGAAAAGTTTTTTTTTGAAATAATTGGTAAATTATGCAAAAGAGAAAGAAAATGAAACGTGACTAGAAGATTTTTTTTTTTTAGAAAAACAAAAAATGAAATCTAAGACGAGAAATGTAAAAAGTCACGTACATTTTTCTCCAGACGTAAAAACATTTTTTTTTTCTTCTTCCTTCCATCTTCTG